GGGGCTGGGGGGAGAATCATGGAGGGGCAGGGAAGAGAATCATGGAGGGGCGGGGGAAGTGAATCATGGAGGGGAGAGAATCATGGAGGGGGTGGTGAGGGAGGAGAGAATCATAGAGAGGCAAGAAAATCATGGAAGGACTGAGGAGGAGGATGAAGAGAATCATGGAAGGACTAAAGAGGAGAGGGGGGAAGAGAATCATGGAGGGGCTGAGGAGGGAAGAGAATCATGGAGAGGCTGAGGAGGGGAGGGGAGAGAATCATGGAGGGGCTGGGAGAATCATGAAGGGGCTGGGGAGGAACTATCACCGGCAGCTAGAGACCTCCTTTGGGACTCCTGGGCCCCTGGTATGAGGAGATGCTACCTCTCAGCCTTGCATTCCTGGGGAGATTGGTGCACATTAAATATATATATATATATTTTATTTTTATTTTTTTATTATTATTTTTTTTTTTTCGTGATTTCTGCTGCCAGTGGAGTAACACTGGCGTTGTAAGTGTTATGTTTTGTGGTGGCTGGCCAGAGTTTTCTAGCAAGCTACCACAGTAAGAATTATAAAATAAACCTGAAAATGCCTATTAGGTCAATATGATCACCTTATTACAAAGGGCAGGGCCGGCCCAAGAAATTGTGCTGCCTTGGTCCAAGGATGAAATGCTGCACCCCCACGCCCCACCTTGCACCAAAAACACGCCAACATCCAATATGTTATGCAGTGTGTGTAGTGAATGCAATGTCTGTTTGTGTAGTGAATGCAGTGTGTGTGTGTACTGGAGGCAGGCTCTGTCTAGTGGAGGCAGTGTCTGCGTAGAGTTGGATAAATGCTGGTGGGGGTGAGCAGTTTAAATTAAATTGGGATTACCCCCCCCTTCCTGCCTCTTACCTGTGGGCTGGAAGTGCGGGACAGTGTGTAGGAATGTGACAGTGTGGAGGGGCAGTGTGTACGAATGTTGTGGGGGTCAGGGTGACACTGATGGGAGGTAGGATGTGAGTATGACAGTGGTGGGAGACAGTATGTGAGGGTGACAATGACAATGTGGGGGTGACAGTGGTGAGGGACAGGATGTAAAGATGACAGGGTGAGGGTGACGGTGTGGGGGGGCAGAGTGTGAGGGTAACAGTGTCAGAGTTCACATACTTTATCCACCTGCACTGTGAATGTTTACATGGTGTGTTCAATAAAAACATGGCAACATTTCATTCTTTGTGTGTTATTAGTTTAAACAGACTGTGATTGTCTATTGTTGTGACTTAGATGATGATCAGATTACATTTTATGACCAATTTGTGCAGAAATCCATATCATTCCAAAGGGTTCACATACTTTTTCTTGCAACTGTAATATGTATCTGGTTACTATAATATTAGGGATCATTTTTTTTTTAATGTTGTTATTATTCCCAAATTTGGTTAATTATAGCATATACGTATAGTAATTTCCTTTTTTCCCTACATTGGGGGAGATAGAACATTACAAGTAGCTTGATTTGCGGCACACTTTTGCTCTTTTCTTGTTACTTTATATATATTAGGTATAAGGTCAAGGCATGTTATGTTTCACACTTCAATACGTTGTTTTATTCATTAGGTTTGCAGGTACAACTAAAGCTACTAGTTGGTTTATCAACATCAACTATATTTATCAAGGTACGTTCACCTGCTTATTACAATTGTATAAATTCTACCCCTCATGTTTTTAGTTACAAGCGTACTGGAAAATAGGAGTCCAATAGGTAACTTCATTTCTACAACCTCCATGCCTTAGGCCAACACCCATCCTCATTCCCGGAGGTATACACTTGTAACGGAGCACCTGGCACCCCGACTGGGCACCTCCATTGACGGACGCTTCCTAGCTGAAGCTGAGGACCTAAAGGACACCACAACCACCACAGATTCCACAACCGCAGTAGCTGAAATGGAGTCTCACCGTCTTCCTTCCACCCTGGATCAACCTCTGACATCCAGATACGTGTGGGAGATACCTCTCCTCCAGGAGAGCGTAACAGGAACAGCTCTTAAAAGAGCTAAGTGATTAGAGCTCAGGGGAGTATACAAAGTATAGCAATCCCCAGTGTGATTAAAGCAGTAACCTAAAATAATGAGACAAGGTTATGTATTGAGGGTTAAGCAGAACAGAATGAACTGAGGGTTTATTGTCTCTTTTATACAAGTTTTCCCACAAGGGTACCACCCACACAAAGTTACACAGTCAATCAAAACACTCTTGTACAGTTAGGCACTCCAAGATAATGTACACAAACCCTCCCCTCTGCCTGTGATACAAGTACCAAACACAATGGACTAACTCAATTACCCACAGGCAGAAAACACAAATTTTTCCCAAAACACAGAAAACACCCACAAAACACCACATATCCCCACACAAAATCCCCACACAAAATCACCTAGATCAGAGCAGGGGTTCAAAAGTTTTATGGAAGTCACATTTGACTGACCGCAAGCATGGTTTTCATGCCCAAAATAGTTCCACAGATTTAGGCTGTGCGGCCGGTCTATCTTCTCCTCTATCCTTGAAATAATTGACTTAAGTTGCTGTGGTAACTTAATTATCTCCAGGTACAGGAAATATCTCTAAGTCAAAAACCACATAAAAATACATAACTCTTATAATACAATATTTAACCTATATGTCCAACATATCCCCAGATAGCTTGGATCTGAGTGCTCAATATGTTAAAAGTGCACAATAGTACAAATAAGGGTGGGGTCAGAAAATAGCAAGGGCTGATGGGATATTGAGGAGGGATAAAACAGCCAGTTTAAACAGCTAGCAAGCCAGGACTAGGTCAAATATGTACAGGTAATAATGGTAAATCTTGTTATTTAGTATGTCTCAAGAAGGTGGCGAAGAGCTATCTCTATTCAGCACTCCGGCTAGATCCGGCACACCTTCACGTAGAGGAGACATGGCTAGTCCAGCATCAATCAGATCCCGGATTATCCCTCGCATTACTACTGAACTCAGGAGACGTCGATGGCCAGCTACTGCCAGGAATAGAAACTGTTCAAACTGCTTCGCACATCAACAGATAATATGTAGGTAGTGGGAAGGCCCTAGCAATACCAATTCAGCAGATATTCACTTCATGCTATCATCACTCATGACCTCCATGGGCAGAGTCAGCGACAGATTGGAGAAACTGGAATTGGTTACTCTAGCTCTGACAACAGCCGGGCCTTCCTCCACAGTTCAACCAGTATCTACTGAAATTCACTTAGGTGGTTTAGTAACTACTTCACATTCACAGGATGTTAACCCTGCTCACATGATTCCAGTTCATATTAAAAAAGATATCCTGGAAGGTAAAGATGTTAACCTGGCATCACTCCTAATTTCCTCCCAGGATATAGTAGAAAATAAGACTTATGCATATGAGGATGTATCGGTTGTGATAAAGGCTAGGGACTCCAGGTTAAACAGGAAACTGACCATCCCTGAGTTTGTTTTAGCTTTTGGTATATATAGGGATGTGGTTTGCTCTGTTTTCCCAAATAGAAGGGAAGAATTTGATTTGTATATTTGACCTAGGCAACAAATATGGTGGTACAGCTTTCTATGATTATCATAGGTCTTTTTCAGCCAAAGTGTCTGGGGCTGGGGGGGGCGGAGCCTAACCTCGGAGGAAGATGGATCTTACAGCTCCCTCTCCCCCAAGCACAGAATCAGCCACCATCACACACGGCCCAAACACCCCCCAAACAGCCTCCAGGTGACCGACCGACACCAGGCTCCACAAAATGGGCGGCGGTAAGAAAAAGAAAGAGGAACTCACACAGTCGGTAGCCTCCATGTTCCGCATGCCGGGAGACTCCCAGAGGTCTACCTACTCCTATCATGGAGACTGTAGCGGATGGCACTGGGCTGTCCTGAGAATTTCATGTATTATAATGCATTCGTGTGAAAACAGCAAAGTTGTATGTATTAATGTATTGTATTCGTCTGAATGTTAGGTAGTTTCATTCCCTTAGTTTGTTCGAATGAAACTACAGAACAGTCAGACCTCCCCTGTGTGAAGTGTGTCTTCAATTACCCGTTGCAACATTGTTGCGAACGGGTAATTGACAAGCTAAGTAGCCGTCCTTTGTTCTCGGGGGTGGCCGCCATTCGAAAAACAAACACGTGGCGGCGCCCATTTTAAAACTCCCGAACAGCGGTGTTTTGCCGTCGAGTGTCTGGAACTCAAATCAGACACTCGGCTAGACGAACACCGCTGAAACCTCCACAAGCCCGGTCCGTTCGGTTTCCAACTACCGAACGGCCCCTCGTTCGGTAGATAGAAAGAACCGAACGAGGGGATTCAGGCGAACCCTCCTTAGCCTCTGTAGCTAGAGGTTTTCGTGCCGTTTATTCCCTGACTCCAGGACCGACCGCAGGGCCCATTCACATGGAACCTCATTCGGCTGTTTCACCCAGTGCGGTCGGTCATTTTATTCCCTCCATAAATTTCCCGAACACCTGGTCTGATCTGGGTGATTTTTGGATATGTTGTTCACCCAGATCAGGGCTACCAGGGGATGTATGATTTAAAGTGGTACCCCTAAGTTTAGGGGTACATCCAGAAACGGGGGGAATTGGTGTGCTGGATAAGGGAATTATGATGCAGGCTGAGGGGAGGAGATGTGTGGGAGGTTACCAGAGCAGGATTGGCTACTGTACTAATGAATGAAAATCCCTCCCTTGCATGGGAGAAGGCTTTAAAAGGCCACTGTCTGAATAAAGCTTTAGTTCTGCTCCTGAAACTGTGTGTCGTCCAGTTATTGGGATTGCTGTTGGGATACTGCTGTTATTTTGCCTGCTGGATACTTTACCCTATGGATTTATAATTGCTTGTTCCTGAACCTCCCTGGGATTCAAAGTGGAGATAGGCTGTGTAATACCAGTTTTCCGCTACAGAGACGACCAAGGTACAGACCCGGAGGGGACCGACCCCACATCTGACCCCTCGTCCCCCCTCACCATCGGGAGCCTCAGAGACATGCTGAAAGAAGCCACAGCGGACATAAAATCCCACGTGGAAGAGGAAATCAGCAGACACCTCGCAGGTCTGAGAGCAGAAGTGCAGGCACTTAACTCCCGCACAGACCAGACAGAGGTACGTCTCACAACACTGACAACGGCCTCCACCTCGCAGTCCCAAGAAATCTCCTACCTCCACGGCTGCCTCACGGCCATGGAGGACAACCTGGACCTTAATAACAAGTCACGGAGGAATAACATCCAGCTCCGTGGCCTACCCGAAGCAGTCCAGCCAGAGACCCTAATCACCACTCTGAAAGATATCTTCTCTGCAATGGCACCTAAACTGCCGCTACCTCTCCTGGAAATGGACCAGGCCCACAGAGCACTACGACACCCTAATCTGAATCTCTCTACCCCAAGAGACGTAATAATTCGCCTCCACTACTTCCAAACTAAAGAAAAAGTTATGCAACTAGCCAGAGACCGTGCTCCCAAGTATAAAGATACCCGCCTAACCTTCTTCCAGGACTTGGCCCCAACTACATTAAAGAAGAGAAGAGATTTAAAACCCCTCACCTTGGCCCTCCAAGAACAGGGGCTAAAATACACTTGGGGCCATCCCTTTAAACTGCTGGTTAAAAAAGGCGACCAAACTCATATCCTCACCACAGCCGCAGAAATGGGCCCAATGGCTGACTCCCTGGGAATGCAGCTCCTGAACCCCACCCCTCTAACGGGATACAGGGAGAGAGACCGCTCCAGAGACAGAGCTACATCCCTGCATCCGGCCAAACAGAAAAGGCCCCCTCACTTCATAGAAGACAACACCACTACTAGACGTCAAGGGGGACAATCCCTGCCACACCGTTCAGGCCGCTAGGAGGACATAACAGATGACAAATAATAGGAACTTTACCACAAAGAATCTGCCCGATATATCTAGAACCAAAGAATCGAAAACCCCAAGACCCTGGCAACCTCCCCAGGGACACTGCTCAAGACAAGACCACTACTACCCCCTAGGGGGTTCTTCTGAAACTTTCAAACCCCCCCCCACAAAAAGAGCTGACCCAGACCACCTCACCGGACTTATACACCTATGAAACCACTATGGCTACAGCTCAAACCTCATGACACCAGAAGAAAAAACGCCAACACACATCAGCGAGCCCCGACCCTCGTCCACCCAATTGATCCAGTGAGGGCATCCTCACTCCAAAACCACCTTGGATCTGAAGAGAGAAACACATAAGAACTATAGAGACATTACTCTTGCAATTTTATTAACTGAACACCTTGATCACCACAAGGGTAATGGGGTAACGCGGAGAGGGAGGGGTGAGACTGACCACAGAGGGATTGGAATTAACAAGGGGGAGGAAGGAGGGAGAATTACACCCCAGACCGGACGGACCACTAGACGCAGAAACACACACGACACTCACACGAACTAATGACAACATACACAAATGACCTACGAGAGACCCAAAACCATCCCTCACACCTTGACTTGACCCCCCACCCCACCTAAAAAACAAAACAAAAAAACCCCAAAAAACAGCAGAACACACCGGACAGGACTGACTGTACACCCCACTAACATACAGAGGACAAAGGACAACAAAAGAAGGATGGGGGAAGGAAGGAAGAGACGACGATAAAATCGTTAGAATAACATAGACAGAAACATGGAAGGGGGAGGGGGAGAACTAAGAGAAAACCCACATCGGGCAGAGCTAGGCACTTAACCATGAGAACTAACTTCCTTGAAAGACGACAAACAGTTAAAATGAGGCAAAAACCATCGATATTTCATAATGTTAATGTTTTTCTTGTATATATATTAAAATGTTTTTTTTCTCTCCCAAGCGAACCTCACAAGTGACGACACAAACTTACATATGACACAAAAGAAAGAAAGACAGAAAACTAAACATCTTATCCCGCACCAACAAATCACAAACTACCATGAGAATAGGCACAACGAACTGACAAAGAATTCACCGACAAACTACCCCCCAACACCGCCTTGCGATCCTATAGTAAGACCAGGGCACACTGACACCACCTTCCTCCCTTTTATTATTTTATTATTATTATTTTATTATTTATATAGCGCCAACAAATTCCGTAGCGCTGTACAATTTAGACACTAAAACCCCATACTCCTTGTTCCTACCCTACCCTCCACAAACCCTCCTCCTCGAACCACTCACCCTAAAGGGCGAGAAACCCCGGGTCCTCCACACAATGAACCACTAAACAGGCCCACACCCGTAGCTAATATGAAAACAATGAAATGTATCTCACTCAACTGCAAAGGCCTAAACAACCCGGCTAAACGCCACCAGCTGATGCGATGGGCCAATAGAACAGGAGCGGATATAATACTCCTCCAGGAAACACACTTTGAGACCTCGAGACCATTCCCACTTAAAAACAGACACTACAAAGAATGTCACTTAGCAAACTCCCCGACCAGAAAACATAACAGAGTATCGATACTTATCCGGAACACATGCCCCATCAGCTTCACAAACACCATAGCTGACCCGCAGGGCAGATTCCTCACTATAATAGGACAGCAAGGCACTCACAAATACGCGATCACTACGATATATGCCCCCAACAACCCAGACCCACCCTTCTGAACAGCCATCCAGGCCCACCTCAAACTGTTCCCCTCCCACCACATGATTACCGGGGGAGACTTTAACGCGGTCATCGATCCCCAAACAGACCGACAACACCAAACCACACGCACTGGCCAGAACAGACAAACTACTCTTGAACTTTGTACTCCACTCAGGTCTCCAAGACATCTGGAGAATGCAAACCCCACAACCCTTGACTTCACTTTTTACTCCCACCCTCATCTCTCCTACTCTAGGATTGATATGTTCCTGATATCCCCTTCCCTCCTAACCCAAGACATTACAACATCTATAAGTACGATCACGTGGTCTGACCACACAGAGATATCCCTAACACTCTCAATCCCACAAACAGCTAGAACATGGTCATGGTGACTAAACCCAACACTCCTACATATCCCTGAAATAAGGGCGTCCATTCAAACGACACTCACAGAGTACTTCAAATTAAACGAGGACTCAGTAGAATCTACAGGCATATTATGGGCAGGACACAAAGCGACCATAAGAGGCACATTGATTGCTGAAGCCACGAAACACAAAAAACAAAAACTAAAAGAACTGAAGGACCACCTCCTCTCGCTGAGGGCCCTAGAGATTCAACACAAACAACACCCAACCCCACCAATTCTAACACAGATCAAAACACACCAACAAGCCATCAAATCCTATATGGCCAAAGACTCACAAAGAGCCCTCCAATGGAGCAAACAGCTCTTTTACGAGAAATCAAATAAGGCAGACACCCTCTTAGCCCACAAACTACGCCAAAAAACACACAATAAACGCATTACCAAAATAAACTCCCCGGGAGGAAGCACACATGAAAGCCCGGATCGTATAGCGAGGATTTTCTCCCAATATTTTACAACACTTTATAATCACAATCCTGATCCACCGCCAACCCTAAAACATGACATCGAAACGTACCTCCGGAACACCCCTCTCCCATCACTAACGAACACGGCGATAGAAAGATTATCTGCCCCTATCACAACAGAGGAAATAGCAAACACACTAAAAACTATTAAACCCAACAAAAGCCCAGGCCAGATGGATTCACAGGCCTCTACTATAAGACATACGCAAACACATTAATACCATACCTCACAGCACTAGGGAACTCACTACTCCAAGGAAACCCACTCCCAAAGGAAATGCTCAGAACAAACATCTGCCTTATCCCAAAACCGGACAAAACACATCTAGACCCAGGCCACTTCAGACCCATCTCTCTACTCAACGTAGACACCAAAATAATTACTAAAACCCTAGCCAACCAGATCCAACTACTCCTACCGAAATTAATATACCCTGGCCAGGTGGGCTTCATCCCCACAAGACAGACAGCAAACAACAAGAGACGGGGCACTCGACCTGATTTGGGTGGCACACAGAAGACAGACCCCAACCCTCCTCCTATCAATGGATGCCGAAAAAGCATTCAACCGACTACTCTGGCCATTCCTGTTTGCCACCCTCCAGAAATTCAAATTCCCGACTCCCATCCTAGATGCCCTGAGGGCCCTCTATGACCAACCCACAGCCCCACTTCTTATCCCCAACACCAAACACCCAGAATTCGTAATCAAAAACGGGACGAGACAAGGCTGCCCACTCTCCCCACTCTTATTCGCCCTCTCGCTTGAACCTCTCCTTCAAAACATACGAAATGAACAGACGATATAGGGCATTAAAATAAGGTCTGAAGAATACAAATTAGCGGCATACGCTGACGACGTCCTCCTCACACTCTCGGACCCCACCCACTCTTTACCACCCCTACTAACACTCCTGCAACAATACGCAACCCTCTCGGGGTATAAACTCAATCTGGAGAAAACAGAGGCCCTCCCAATAGCAATACCACAACACACCCTGGAACAATTACAACTAGCCCACCCATTTAGATACAACCCAAGCAATATACGCTACCTGGGAACATTTCTTCCGGCAGACCTGAACACAACATATGCCCTGAACTACACACCGCTACTCCACCAAGCACAGCTAGACCTGCAAAAATGGGGACCCATGTCTATATCTTGGCTAGAGCGCATAGCCTCAATAAAAATGAATCTCCTCCCCCGATTTCTCTATCTCTTCCAAACACTACCAATACCCATTTCCAAACACGACTTTAAAACACTCCAAATACACATAGACAGATTTATATGGTCAAACAGGAGACCGCGCATAAAATGATCCACAATGTACAAAACCACAAAAACAGGAGGCCTGGGTCTCCCGAACTTCTACCACTACTACCAATCGGCCCAAGTGGCCCAAATACAACAGCTACATGCACCACCGGGACTCAAACTCTGGGTAGACCTAGAGCATGACCTCTTGGGATGAGACCACCCATCACTACTTTTTTGGCTACCCAAGAAAGATAGACCACCCACCCCACAAACCACTCTTACATTAACTACATCTTTTCTCATATGGGACGATCTCACATCAAAACACCCCATAATGAACATACCATCGCCCCTCACACCTATTCTAAAAAATAAGCAATTTCCCCCAGGCCTAACACCCAAAGACTTCTCACGATTTGAAGACAACGGACTGTTCTGATTCCTCCACTTTTTCCAAGGCCAACAACTTTTCCCATTCCAGGACCTCCCCAAACAGACACACCTGACCACATTCGACCACTTTCGCTACATACAGATTTGCAGCTTTCTCAATGAACCACAAAATAGAGCAGCCGCCACTGCCAGACCAACTCAATTCGAAAAAACATGCTTCCATGCACCCATACAGAAAGGACAAATCAGAAAAATATACTCATTCTTAAACTCAAACTCCCTAGAGGACGCTCTCTTCTACACCAAGGCATGGGAAAGAGATATAGGCTCCCCTGCAGACCCCTCAGATTGGGCAGACATATGGGAAGCCACAGCTTCGCTCACCATTTGCGTAAACCATAAAGAGCAAGCTTATAAAACCCTATTCAGATGGTACCTCACGCCACTTAGACTGATACATGCTGGAAAGGCTGCACACAGAAGGGCACCTACATCCACCTCTGGTGGGAGTGTCCCCAGGTCCTACAAATATGGGAAAGAGGGTCACGTTCGCATCCGACATAATAGAAACAGACATACCAAGAGATCCCTGGATATGGCTGCTTTCTAAACCTCATCCCTCCCTTACCAGAGCACAGAATAAACTGGTGGCCAGACTAGCGCTGGCCACTAGACGGACGATAGCAGAA